TTCTGGTTCTGGTTCTGGTTCTGGAGGGACTCACGTATCGGACCCCGGCGGTCCTCTTGGACAGGTGGTAGAAGGAGCTGTGCAGGTAAAACAGGGCCAGGTGCAGTCGGTGCAGGAGGGCCACGCCCTGCTGGACCACCAGCACGGCCGGCTGACACGCCCTCCTCTGCGGCTCCGTCAGCAGACCCACCGCCCTCTGGACCCGCCCCCTGAGCCAGCGCTCCAGGCTCCACCCCCCCACCTGGCGCCTGGCTCCGCCCCTCTGTGGCTCGCCCTCCAGTTCGTTCTCCACACACACCAGGACCTTGTCCAGCAGGTAGGGCAGCGCCGTGTGCAGCAGGACCAGGACGCCTCGTCTGACCAGAGACGGGATCCGACGTCCGGTCGGGTCCACCTGGACGATGTTGACGTACTCCTCACCCAGAGTCTGAAGACCTGCAGAGACCCAGAACACAGAACTGAAGAACCTCAGGTCCAGGTCCACCTCCAAACCTCTGAGACCCACCTGAGAGCGTCGTCAGAGAGAAGTAGCAGAGATCTGAGAGCAGCTCCACCTCCCGCCTCCAGTCCAGCCAGTGTTTGGACCCTGAGGGACCAGAGACCAGAACTGAACCTCAGAGACCAGAACTGAACCTCAGGGACCAGAACTGAACCTCAGGGGTCAAAAACTGGTTCCTGCTGCTTCCAGAGGATCCAGGTCTACAATAGAACAGGTCCATCTGAGAAGAACCAAGGTCCAGAACCTGTGGTGGTCTAGTTGAGTCTAGACTATGTGGGTCTGGTTAAGTTCAGTCTGGTCTAGTTGGGTCTAGACCACCTTAAAAAAAAGTCTAGGTCTGGTCAGAGTCCAGGACCTGAGGAAACCTGTGGTGGGTCCTTCAGGTCTGACCAGAACCACTGAGACACGAACAGAACCACTGAGACACGAACAGAACCACTGAGACACGAACGGAACCAGAGACAGGTTCTGCTGCTGGAGAATAAATTAAATATTTAAATTGAAACATTAAATAAAAACATCAGATTTAAAGTCCAACAGACCCGCGGTGTTCTGAAACGCTTCATTGGCTCGGTTCTTCAGGAAGGTTCGGTAATATTCGTCCTTCTGACTGGACCGGATCAGCTGGGCCTGGTTCGCAGGACTGAGGGGCATCCTGACCTCAGACAGAGACCTGCAGGTGGTTTTAATCAGAGCAGAGACGCTGAGTTTATCTCAGTAAATAATAAATAAAAAACAAACATGAAAGAACCGAMAAACTGTTTAAAACCGACTTCCGGGTTTGAGAGGTTTGAAAACCGACCTGAAGGAGCGCCGCCGCCCCCTGCTGGAGACCCGCCGGAACTACAACAACAAACCCTCAAACCAGGGGCAACAGTTTGATCCGTTTTCTRACCTGGACATGTTTGGTATCAGTAGAAACCTGAGAATCTCGACTAAAAACTCATGGAAACTATTTTTACTTTCACCAAACAGTTCAAATGACAGGAGMTGAATCAGGAAGTAAACAAACTACAAAATGTCATCATTGTAAATCTAAATACTTTCAAGCTGATCTGCAAAAAAATACATGTTGACTTTTTTTTTCAAAGCAAGTCAAAGTAGATATCTAAATAATTAATTTTTCAAAAGAACAAACATTCAATAAGTCTTTTCAGGGAGGCAAGAAAAATAAATAACTTTTGCAATTAAAAACTTAACATTTATTAATGGAACCATCATGGTCTGTCCTGTACAGAGGCCCATTTCCACCACCCTGATAAAAAATAAAAATAAAACTTGTATCTCATAATTATGACTTAGTATCTCATAATAATGAGATAGCTAAGTCATAATAAAAGAAAAAGAAATCTGGTCTGGGTCTCAGGTTTGGGTCTCAGGTCTGGGTCTCAGGTTTGGGTCTCAGGTCTGGATCCCTCCTGGTTTTTCTTTCAAACAGTTCCTCCCAGCAGAGACCAAACAGCTGTGATCCGGCGGGAAAGCTGCAGAACCGGTTCTTTTGTCTCCTTGGAGCTCCCTGAGCCGGCAGGCTGGATTTGAACCTTCGACCCATCACAGACCTGATCCAGATCCAGTTACTGGCTCTGCTCCAGGTCCCTCACACCGCCCACCTGGACCGGCCCTTTCACCAGGAACCTGGACTTTGTTCTCCAGGTGAGGGGGCGGAGTCGAGGAGCTTCCTGATCATTAGGGAAGGTGGACGGAGAGGGGCGAGCTGCAGAGTCTGGACTGAACGACCCGGGACAAACTGAGACTTTACAGGAGACAACCTGGACCCGGCTCCTGGTCCTCAGGTATGTGGGACAGGTCTCAGAGTCTAGATCTGAAGACTTGAGCTTCAGGCTGATTCTGGACTCTGTGTTTAAATAAATCAAAGTTCAGAACCTGGAAGAGTTTCTGACAAGGAAACAAAAACCACAAAGTTGACTCATCAGGTCCAGGTCCAGGTCCAGGTCCAGGTCTACAGCTGGAAACAGAGTCAGGAAAGAAATCTGAACAGTGAAACTAAAGTTTGATATAAAATATTTTTGTGAATCTCCCGTCTTGTTTTGAAGCAGATTAGTTTCTGTCAGAGGGTTCAGGACGACTCTCAGCTACTACCAGCTCCTCTGACGGCCATCTTGAATCAGGATCGACTCTGAAAGTTCAAAAATCCAGTCATTCAGGGAAAAATATGAACGCCCACAAATTAGACCACCAGGGTCCTGGACCAGGGTCCTGGACCAGGGTCCTGGGGTGTCGACATCCTGTGATTGAATCACCTCTTAAAGTTCTGCAGAAGCTTGTTAAACACTCAATTATTAAAACCAGGTGTGTTGGAGCAGGTAAAACCTCCAGGACCAGGACCGGACACACCTGGTCCAGGAGGTCCTGTAAYCTGTACAGAACACCTGGGAGGAAGGAGAGGAAACACCTGCTTTACATGGTTCATCAGAGACGGTCTCAGGTCTGGGTCTGATTTAAGATGTTGGGAGCTTCAGATGATCTGATCGTATCAGAAGAAAAACAWAATGTTTGGACTTTGATAAGCGACTGACAAGACTTTTTGATGCACAAGTGTTTTGTGTTACTCTGTTAGCAAAATATTTTGTAAATGATGGATATTAATGAAACTTTAACTGGACGTTGCTTTTGTTATGACATCATCATCCTGCAACAAACTGCTAATTGCTCCCAACTCTGCTAATGCCACAAACTCTGCCAGCACTGCTAATTTTGCTAATGCTACCAATTCTGCTAATGTTACTAACTTTGCTAACACTGCTAACTATGCTAAGTCTGCTAATGCTACTAACACTGTCAACATGGCTAACTCTGCTAACGCTACCAACTCTGCTAACTCTGCTAATGCTACTAACACTGCCAACATGCCTAACTCTGCTAATGCTACTAACACTGTCAACATGGCTAACTCTGCTAATGCTACCAACTCTGCTAACTTTGCTAATGCTATTAACACTGCCAACATGGCTAACTCTGCTAATGCTACCAACTCTGCTAACTTTGCCAATGTTACCAACTCTGCTAACTCTGCTAATGCTACCAACTCTGCTAACTCTGCTAATGCTACTAACACAGCCAACATAGCTAACTTTGCTAATGCTACTAACACTGCTAAGTCTGCTAATGCTACCAACTCTGCTAACTTTGCTAATGCTACCAACTTTGCTAATGCTACCAACTCTGCTAACTCCGCTAATGCTACCAACTCTGCTAAATTTGCTAATGCTACAACTCTGCTAATGCTACCAACTCTGCTAATGCTACCAACTCTGTTAACTCTGCTAACACTGCTAACTCTGCTAATGCTACCAACTCTGCTAACTTTGCTAATGCTACAACTCTGCTAATGCTACCAACTCTGCTAACACTGCTAACTCTGTTAATGCTACCATAACTTTGCTAATGCTACTAACACTGCCAACATGGCTAACTCGGCTAATGCTAACAACTCTGCTAACTTTGCTAATGCTACTAACACTGCCAACATGGCTAACTCTGCTAATGCTTGTAACTTGCAGTTACGACCGGTGTCAGAGATGTTCCTCAAACTGTCGGACCCCAGGTACCACCCGTGTTGTTTTCAATTAACGTATTTTTACTAAATTTTTAATACCATGATCTTCAGCAGCATTAGCATTGTGAGCAACGTTAGCGTTTGCTTTTGTCTCAGGATGATGATGTCACAACAAAAGCTGCCCACCAACAGCAAAGGCTGTGTTCCATTTTGAAATTCTTTCGAAAGTTTAACGTTTTTCTGCAACATTTAAGATTTAATTTTTACATTTATACTTAGAGTTTAATATTTAGACACAACATTTAAATTAGATTTTGCCTCTGTGGTCTGAAGGGAAGCTGCTAAACACCCGAATAAATAAAATCTTTGTTTCATTTGAACAGCCTGAGTCATTCGGCTCGTCACGTCGCGCAACACCACAGGAACCAGATCGTTCATGGGGACGGGTGGTTCTGACCCGACCCTCCTGTTGAACACCAGAGAACAGGGCAGGTGTTCTGATGATCAAACCCTGAAGCTCATTTCTGACTTCCTGTCTCTGAAAATGTCAGAACGGGAAATGGTTCAACATAAAAACAATAAACCGAGCCTCTGAAAAGGTCAGGGAACCCGTCTCTGATTTATTCGAGTTAATAAAACTCCTCTGAGAGAAGAAAACCACGTGCTGCCAGACCCGGTCGTGTCAGAACCTGCAGGATCTGTGCTCCCTCCTCTCCTCGGGCAGGTTCAGCTCCACTCGGCTTGTTTTGGGTTCACAAATGTATTGTTTCCCAACAAACTGGCAGCCAAACCAGAACCCCTCCAGAACCGTTTCTGGGTTCAGACAGAGCCAGAGGTTTTGGGTTCCCTTCAGGTTCTGTTAAACAGATGAAACTGTGTGTCTGAACCGGTTCTGGCAGAAACAAACTCTCATTGTGATCAAAACAAACCAGAGAGGCAGAAATCAAAGCTGTCACCGACTGAACTTCTA